GAGACTCGTTTTTGCGCAGAGCCACGGCGACTGTGATTCCACCAGGTAAGCTCGCCTCAGTAACGTTTTTGCCAACTTTGAAGGCTCATAACTTTCTTAGGAAGTTCACGTAGCAGTTTTAGTGTCCATATTTGTAATCAGCGTTCAAGACTATATTACGCTAGGTCTCCTTCCAAATTGGGAGTTAGAAGCATTTCCTGGTGAGATCGAGCTCGGATTTGAGAATCGCTTCATTGGTGAACTGTTATAAGTTTTTGTGCTTAACATTACTCTCGATAATATATAACATTCGAAACTGATTGTAAACTACAGAACACACTGCCGACCACATGATGACAAAAAGTTTGTGTTGCACACTTAAGCATGATAAATTCATAATAAAACATGAGTTTTATTTATTACTCCATACACAAGCTTATGGTTAGAAATTTTACTAAAAAGGATAGTTTTACATAATCTTTCCAACAAAATGATCCACACATTGAAATGACAATTTATCATCAGGAACAATTACATGTAGATTGGTTCCTAACAAGGTTAATTCAGTAATTGACAGCGAAAAAAGAGATCAACTTTAATAGCAGTAAAAATCACCATTGAACAAGGAAAATGTGTTTGTGAAGCAGCCTGGAGATACGATTCAAATTCAAATTAAGAAGCTTTGGAACTGCAACATCATCTCACTACGACCAAATTATTTCATGTCTTAGTGAACGAAAAACCCGTTATGGATATGAAGTGTAACATTCTCATAACAGCAGAATCAATGAGAGATTTTCACATTTCCTCTCATCACAATCAGACGAACAAATGTAAAGCAAAAATGGTAATGGGTTATAGGGCAGTGTCTTCTCTTTTGCATAGAACAACTGCGGAGCGCCCTGCAGTAGGGAGTGACAGTAAAAGCGAATCAAGCAGGGTAAAAATGTTTCGAGTAGATTGAGTTGAGTCTAATTCTCGGAATGCTTCTTAGCGATCACTTCCGGATGATCCAATTCTAAATATCCTTCCTTGCAACTGAAGCATTCCCTTGTTTTCGCACAGCTCATGTGGACCCATGCCCCACAGTCGTCACATAGCATCCAATCAATCATTGCTTTTCGGACACCAAATTCACAAACTACAGATTCCATTATTCCGCACACGTCGCAGATTATGGCTATATCGCTGTCATTTGTATCACAGTCACTGGTCGCCGGAACATGATGAGAAGACGTTCGAGCCTCCGTCTCCTAAAAATTGATACTTGCTCAAGCCAGTACGTAAATAGAAACTACAAAAACAGGGTTCACCTTGGGCTCCATTTCAGACCTACTCTCTGAGGTTATCGCTTGCTTCGTCGTTTCTTGCTCTTCGATATTCTGTCGCGAATGAAGTTCATGGAAGCCATTCGGCTCTGTAAATATTGTCGTGTCATTAAGACTTCAAAGCGAAGTTCAGCAGAAATTTGTGTATGTGTTCCAGTGAGCCCTTTTCGAAGTGTATTCAACCGAAGTCCTCCCCTGGTTCTCTATTCTCTGCCTCCTCTTTTTTTTGAAAATCTCACTCCTTCAAACCGAAAGCAAACACTTCTGCAGATATCAGCCGCTCTATTCCGCGCAATATTTCTTACGGAAGCCTATTACAATAACTCCACTACTTGCTCATCTCACAATTCGCGACCGTTGCCCCCTTACAGTACAATATTTTCGTTGAAAATGCGCAGAATCCCGTAGCGAAAGCATCTGCAGTATGACCGCGTGCGGAAATCCGGATTGAAGCAGTATATGGACGTGTGCGACACCGTTAGCTCCTACGCTGTCTAGGGAGATTCGGATCAGCGATATGCCGAATTTTCAAAACTCCTGTGTAGGATTGACAATGCTGCGCCCTCCCACGTGACTGCTACTTCAGTCGAACAGAAAAACAAAACTGTAAAAAGTTTGCCGTTAACGGTTTTGTGAGACCACGTCCCTGTTTACACCACAGTAGCGTGCAACTCCTTGAGCCCACCCATCCATATCACCCGCCGTAAAAAATACGAATTATCCTATCTGAGTCAGAAAAAAACTACACAAACCTTTCGTGCCTGACACAATACCGAGCGCCTTTGACAGAATATCATCTATTTTGCGTAGACAATGATATGCTTCCTTCGACCCTTGCCCTTGTAGCTTTGAACATTCATCGTTGATCGCTTTTAATTTCTGAAACAAATAATTGTAAAAGATGAAGCGATAAAGTATTGAACCTTTCCGGATGCGCCACGCATTGTGCTTTCATTCAAAACCATTCGGCATTTTGAAAGCGATTTGGCCTATTCAATGACTTTAGAAAGCCAACCCAAGTACGAGTCTAGAAAAATCTCCCCAGACAAATCTGGTACCGAGTAACTGACCCCGGAGAAGTGGAAACCTTAGCTGGCCTTGACGGCGCACGATCCAGGGTTTGATACCAGGACCGTGGTAATCAGCGCCAGCAGCACTACAACACTTATACCCAATATGAAATACAGAGCGTTTCATAATTATAAGGTCATAACTAAGGCAAAAACTATGAGCTTATGAAAA